CATTGTAATGTTGCTAGTTTGGCAAAATATCTAGTGTTATAAATAAATCTCGAGTGTTATAAATAAATCTGGAGTGTTATAAATATATCTCGAGTGTTATAAAAAAATCTCGAATAAAACTAGAGAGTATTTACTTGTATGGAAATGATTTTTTTTTATAACATATATAAATTTTAGTTTGATTTGGTTTAATGTTCCAAAGTATTGTCCAGGGTTCTAAATTATTACTTCTTATATATATACTCAATTATTTGTTTGCTAGCAACGAACAGCATTTCCTAGACAGGAATTAAAGTTTTAACTTCTGGCTAGTTAGTTGTTGTAACTTAAATTGACCTAGAAAGCAGAGTCATGCAAGGATGCTCAACTTTGAATTTGATTCTGATAGAATGAGAAGAGTGAACAGGGGTATGGTAGAAGAAAGAAAGCAATCTTTTTAATTTAATAAGAGGGAACTGTAAATCAATAAAGTTGAAGTGTGCGTATTTGTATCGCCAGCAGTTATTTAAGCGTGAAGAGTGACTCTTTAAGACGTTGTTATATCCAGACCTTAATTTAATGAGAACAGTTTTTGCAGCACATGAGTGATGTATTTTAGATGAAGGACCTTTAAGATCTTTGTTGTTATATAATTGAAGTGTCGAAGAATATGGTTTTTCGGTACGGTGGTTAGAAATCCTTCATCGAAATTCGACGTTATTGATACTCAAAATATATATGCTTTATTATTTATATATAGATCATTAAACATACTGCATCTTTTGTCAATTTTAATTCTTATAAAGACAGTAATAATTATAAACAGTCACACTATCATTATTTCATTACATTAAGAACATTTAAAGACAGTACAATAGTATAGACATAGAAGATATCATATATGTGTTTTTAAACTTTTTTGTTTATAAAAAGCGTATTTTTATTTCAAAAAGAAATTAAAAATAAAACAAATTAGCAATTTTCATTAAATTTATGTATTTTATTCTATTTGACACACAAATCTAATTTTTTTATTATTCATATATCTTATGAAATTATACTTAACTATATTTCTCATTCATTTCTGCACACTAGAAGCACGGACAACTTATGTATAGATGTCTAACGTTTTTAGCCAAAATTCGTAATACTAATATGCCGTTCACACTACAAGCTTAAGATAATTTACGAAATGAACCTAAAGTGTTTAAACACACTCCACATTTGTTTTAAAAGTTTTCGATTCCTTACGGAAGGAGGACTTTAAAAAATGCACTCACATTATATAGAACAGCTGCTATCAGAAATTTAACTGAAAAATTGCGAGAAAAAAAGGAAGGAAGGCAGCTATAGTAAATTGTGTGATAATGCTAGAAAATTTTTGCAATTTTACTAGACAAAAAACAAAAGAAAATATTCGGCAAAAGCATAAGCAGCATTTTTTGCGTTTCTTCGCTAGCAGATTGTAATTGAATTTGGAACTAAAAACGAACATTAGTTAGTGTAATGAGAAGTGCTTATAACACTTTGAATCGTAATTTATTTAAAATATTCAAGTTATGTCATGTGTTCTCTGAAGACAAAGTATTTGTTGGCATTGTATTTTATATACAGTGAAACTTCCATAACTCGACTTCTATAACTCGAATTTTCTATAACTCAAATTAAATAGACTGCAACAGGGTTTAGAGAGCAAATTAATACAATTCTTTAACTCGAGGTTAGCTGTAGACTAAATCGCCATTGTACGATCAAATTTAAAAATTTTAATGGGGATTTGTTTTGTATGGCATTGTTATTATCTATAAATAAGTGACCTGAGCTAGAAGCATGCAAAATAATAAATAAACTAATTTATAGAAATTGATACATAGGCGATGACTGTTCATAGAAAACTTACACAATGATCTGCATCAATCCATATCATCGGGGCATATAAAAAGGATTCCCTTCTTGTGTGTACGTTCATGTGCTTTTTTGTGATGAACTTGAGCAAATTTTTTGCCACAAGTTTCGCAACTAAAATTATACGAAATTGTTAATTAAAAAACCAAATAATAGTCAATTATTTCAACCTGAAAGGTTTTTCACCACTATGCATCATCATGTGCACTTTCAAGACATTTGAGTAGGCAAAGCTCTTATTGCAGATTGTACAACTGTAAGGTCGTTCATTAGTGTGTATACTGAAAAAATTAAGAATTATAAAATTAATTTTTACACATTTTCAGTAAATCGTATGTTGTATAATTTAATAAATTACTACCGTTCATGTTTAATTTTTGTTGAGGGATCTGTAAAAGCAGCACTGCAATATTTGCATTTAAAAGGGCGATTGCCTGTATGAGAGTTCATATGGCGCGCCAATTGTGGTGTGTGAGTAAAACGTTTGTGACAAATTCTAAAAAAAATACGAAATTAGAATGTTATATTAATAATTTCAATGAATAACGTACTCGCATTCATGTGGTTTGTCTTTTCTGTGATATTTCATGTGAGCTGTCAATTTAGATTTCTCATTATAAATGTTTCCACAATGGCAACAAATGTGCGCTGGATACGATTTCAGTGCCTGTTTGCGTTTGGCTGGTGTCTTTTGTGTACTTCCTGTTTCCGATTTATTTTCTTTACTTATTTTTTTCTTAAACGTAGTGGGCATAACTTGTACAGATGTTATTTGCAATTCAGTTTCGCTTACAGTTCTGTTAATAATGTCGCTATTTTGTTCCAATCCATAATCACTACTTTGACTCTCATCATACGGTTCATAGTCATTGCTATTAGATGCTAAATATGATGCTTCTGTGGTGAAGTTTGTTTCTTCTTGTAAAAATTCATCATCTTCACTTGGCATATTATCCAACTAAAATTAAAAAAAAAAATTACCACAACCAGGGTTTGAATTGCTGTTGCTAATTGCATTGCTTGCATAATTGCTAACGCATTGCATATGAAAATGAAATAAAAATATGCATTAGCAACAGCAAAAAACGTAAACTGGTTTCATTTTGATTGCTTGCTAATAGTCAATTTTACATTTTTGACTATTATGCATTTGGAATATATGCAACTTGCTTGCTTATGCGTTAGTTGCTTGTGTTTTGCTATTAGCAAATGTGTATGGATTTCTTTTTTTGTTTTTGTTTTAAGGGAATGTGTACGCATTATTTCTTTGTCAATTATGATGTGTGCGTACAATTTGTATGCAATTAATATAATTTTATTTGTAATTAGATTATGCCTAAACTTATGTTTATTTTAATTATTAAATTTCTGATATATATGATATATATATATATATATATATAGATAGATATACATATATAGATTAATTAACATTTCAACATTTTAAAATAATTAGTGATAGCGATTTAGCAGTTTGTAAAATTTGCAAACATTCGTTGAAGAGGGACAGAATATTTAATTTAAGAACGCATTTAAAAAATATGCACCAGTTAAATATAAATGAAAATGAAGATTCCAGCTCAAGTACTAGTGCAATAGTTGTGAAAAAATCATTCCGAAAACAAACAATTAAAATCGAAATGAGCAAAAAAGAGTTATTTCGCTGTATATTGGCTTAGTAACTGAGGACAGTATTCCATTTAATGTCCTTAAATCGGAAAATATGAGAAAGATTATTGACCCTATTCGTCGTGGCTTAGAAGAAAAATTTAATAAAAAATTTGTATTGAACAGCAATAACTGTAAAAGTGTCTTGAAATTAGTTGCTGGCAATATTAAAGAACATATTAAAAAAGAGCTCAAGCAACGATTGATTTCCTTAAAAATTGACAGTGCCACAAGATTATCTCGCAATATATTTGCTGTTAGTGCACAATTTATAAAAAACAACGAAATTATATCAACCATTTTAGGAATGGTGGAACTGAAAGGAGTGGCATCAAGTTCATCTCGTAATTTGTCGACGGAAATTGTGAACTTATTAAGCAAATACAATGTAAATCTCAATCAAGTTGTATCAATTACATCAGATAATGGTGCAAACATGATCAAAACGACAAAGATTTTATCGCACTGTAGCATCGCCAACGAGCTGTACGAAGAAGTCGAGGCTGAGGAAGCAAATGATGTATATTTAAAAAATATCGAACTTTTCGAAGATACAATTGACATTCAGTTGGGCGACATTCAAATTTGCCGTTGTGCTGCTCACACTGCTCAGCTCTGTGCACTGGATGCTACTAAGGACTTGAACATTAGAACTTATTTGATGAATTGCAGAAACTTAGTCAAGTTCATCAAAAAAATTCTAACGGCTATCGTGAAATTTTTGAACTAAAAAAGTTGACTCTACCACAACTCGATTGTCCTACACGGTGGGGATCGACATATAATATGGTAGAAAAAGTTTATGCAGCCAAGGAAGTTTTGGACAACGTAGAGTCTGTACAAAATAAATCTTTAGATGAGAATTTTGAATTATGCGATGAATTTTGGGAGTTTGTGAAGAGTTATTCTACTGTGTTTGAACCATTACAACGAACAATCATAAAATTTCAAGAAGAACATCTGCATTATGGAAATTTTTTTGCACAGTGGATGAAGTGCAATCTTATAACCAAAAAAATTGTAAATGATTTTGATGATAAAAGTTCTCTTGTAAATAAAATTGGAACGAATTTGTTGCATAATATAGAAGTGAGAACTGTAAAACTTTTAACAAACAAAAGCTTAAACGCATGTTTGTATTTGGACCCACGCTTTAGCCATACATTGACTGTAGAGCAAAAAAACGAAGCTGTTCTGTTTTTAAAACGACTATATAATAGACTGACAGCACTGAACTCAGGTTTCCTGATTGATAAGAAGAATTCAGCCACAAATTGTACACAAATGGAAGATACTCTCGAATATGAGGATAGGTACCTTAATGATTATCTTTCTAACCACTTCGAAGCTCAAAGTAATAACAACATGGACGTCTACACCAAAATTGAAATTTTGAAGTTACCTTTTCAACGTGTTGATATAAATGTATTGGACTTTTGGAAGGAAAGACAGTTTGCTGATCCAGAATTACATGCGCTTGCGAATATATGTTTTGCAATTCCACCAACTCAGGTAAAATATTCGTTTAGCATAATATGAATAATCAAATTAATGTCATTTACAGTTAAGGTTACCATCGAGCATGCTTTTTCGTCACTAAAATTGATATTATCTGATCAACGAAATCGTCTTAATCATGAAACTTTAGAAAACATTCTCATGGTTAAACTAAATCCGCAATTTTTGGACCATGCTATTGATGATATGCCGTTGTTTCAACCTCCTGAATGGGAGTTAAATTTAGAAGAATAATAACATCAAATTAAAATTTTTAATCATAATTGATAACAAAGTTTTTATGTTTTTTACCGGGCGTAGGTCGTTTATTAAACACATTAATTTATAAAAACGTTTTTTAAATAAAATAAAAAATTTCACTTTTTAAACTGTTTTAAATATTAAGTTATATTTTAATTTTAATACAAAATTATTTATATATATTATATATATATATATATTTATTTATATATGAATTAATAGTTAATAATTAATATATATATATATATATCTATCTATATATATATATATATATCATATATATCATAAATTTAATAATTAAAATAAACATAAGTTTAGGCATAATCTAATTACAAATAAAATTATATTAATTGCATACAAATTGTACGCACACATCATAATTGACAAAGAAATAATGCGTACACATTCCCTTAAAACAAAAACAAAAAAAGAAATCCATACACATTTGCTAATAGCAAAACACAAGCAACTAACGCATAAGCAAGCAAGTTGCATATATTCCAAATGCATAATAGTCAAAAATGTAAAATTGACTATTAGCAAGCAATCAAAATGAAACCAGTTTACGTTTTTTGCTGTTGCTAATGCATATTTTTATTTCATTTTCATATGCAATGCGTTAGCAATTAGTCGTTTGACAAAAATCGACTGGTTAATATTTATGCATTAGTCAAAATATGGTTGCTTTTGCTAATTTTCAGCAAGCAATTCAAACCCTGACCACAACACACAATTACAGTTTACATTTACCTCACAACCAACATCCGTCTCTCCCACATACATTTCGGTCACATAATCAGATACTATGATCTCATATGTTTCCTTGACCGTGTCATCTGCATTAGGTTCCTCTTTTATTTTTGCAGATACAATAATAGGCTCATCCTCACTTTCCGCCTCATTCGGTTTACTGCTTACATTTTTTATATCTGTTATATTTTGTAGTTCCTGCTGTTGTACACCCAACTTTTGTTCCGATATTTGGCATAGCTTCCGAAATTTTTGTGATATTTTTAACAATTTTAAGCATTTGCTGCAAATTTTCTTTGGTAGATCATCTTCGTTATTTAACTAGAAATTAAATATAGTAAAGAAAACTGTTTTCGTAATGTTTTATATATTATACGTTTCTTCATACCACTATTCCACCACATTCCTTTATGTCCTCAACTATATTTTCTTCATTGTTATTCTTTCGAAATATTTCTGTCATATTTGCAGAAGGTTTTAAACATATACGACAAATTATCCATTTTTCCATTGCATTTAAAATTATACTTCAAATGATTGGCAATAATTTTTTAGAAATATTATTTTGATATCCGAAAACGCTGACTTGACAGATGTCAATAAATAAAGCTGGTTGGCATTTCCAATGACATTTCGTGGAGAGTTTTCGGTAACAGAGTTGTGTTTTTCATACAAAATAAATATATTGTATGAAACAATAAATCACACATTTAATAAAATAAATTCCTTCACGGCATTCAACTATGGGGAACAATCTCAACAGCCAACATTGAAATTCTTCAAAGATTTCAGTCTAAAACTCTACAAGAAATAGTAAACCCTCCATGGTATGTAACTAACATTCAAATTCATTGGGGCTTCAAGATAATCCCGTTAAAAGACGAAGTAAAAAAGATACCTCGAAAATACCATGAACGAATACAAATTCATCCCAACACTCTTGCACTCTTGATGTCTACCTCAAAGATTTTTATGAAATTGAAAAGGAAAACGTCGTGAAGCGTTTTTATTGATTTATATTATAATAAAATCTTAATTTAAAAAGAAGAGTTGTGCTCCACAAGGAGAATTACCTAAATTTATATTATCATGACTTAAATAGTATTTATCAAAAAATTGTAAAATGTCACAATGTTATGTAACAGAATACATATTGAATTTGAATTAAATAAAAAAAATTCCTATGAAACAACGTTTGCTGATGATAACGTGCTATCACAATCCGAACACGCGAAGTATCTGGGTGTTCATCTTAATCGCCATCTCACCTAGAAAAAAAATATATTTACGAAACGCAATCAACTGGGTCTGAAAATGTGCTTTATGTACTGGTTTCTTTGTCAAAATTCAAAGCTATCAATGAACTTATCATTATTAACTGTTTACATTCTGATACAGTTTGGAATATATGTGCAAAATAAAAATGAAACAATTAATGAGAAAAGTAATTGACAATACGATTATTTCATGTGTTAAGGCACAGTAAGATTAAAAAATAATCAAAAATAAGAACATGGAATCGCAAGCAACACATTTGTACACAAAAAAACAGCTGACAAAGATGATGCGTTGCCAAGTACTTTAATTTGTGATACGTACCGTTTCTACACAAAATAATCCAGATCAAAAGAGATCATTATTGGTTGAAAAGCTGACATTATATATATATATATATTATATATATGCAGAGTCCAAAAAAATTACATGCGGATTATAAACTAATTAAAAAATTTGAATATATTTCCTAAGACCACTGATGTTCAGTACTTGACAATATTCGACATAGCGTTGTATGGTCAGCGAAATTTCAATAAATTAAATAAATTTATCCCTGTCTTTTCTTTGCTATTCGAATCCGTCTAAAATTATTCTATTTAATCATATAATAATAAATATATAGAGGTATTAGAATATAATTTCTATAAATTAACGTAAGATTAATTAAATAATCATTACGTACTGTAATCATTTACAGTTTTAATTCACTACACCAACATAACAACTGTCAAACTGTCAAACGTTCATACGTCATATGTCACAATAGAACTAAGAGCGACGCTTAAGATTGTAGCTCAATTTAAATAAAATATTTATTTTTATAAAATTAAAACCAAAATGAATGGAATTAAATTAGAATATGAGGAGCTAATGGTATGTCGTATTTGCTTGCAAACCAGTGAAGATGCTATGATATCAATTTATGAAAGAAACGACAACTCTGCCCTCTGCGTCTATCAAAGAATTGAGAAATATGGTGGAATCAAGGTAAACATACGTGGAGTAAACATATATCATAGTTATTATAAATAATTTCTTCTGTAGATAATAAAAGAACCTGGGCTGCCTTCACATATCTGTAAACAGTGCAATATTTTTTTAGATATAGCGATGAAATTTCAAATAATATGCAAAGATTCTGACGAATATTTGCGTGAATTTGCTTGCGAAGGTACAAAACTGGAATGTGATGAGGATGGAGTGGAATATCTTATGGAGTATGCACCTGAAGAATTTATACGAGAAAAGGAAGTCCTAGTGCAAGATTGTCAAATAATAGATAACGTAGCTTCACCAATTGCTTATGAGGAAGTTGATGACATAAACGAAATGTGGCTTAACGAGGAGGCTTTTGAAAATAACATAATAGTGGAAGAACATGGTGCAGATTCCGCAATGATATCAACACCCAACACATCACCAACTCCTGCAAAAACATTAGATATATCGTCAGATGGTGCCGCAGTGATACGTGTGAAGCCACAAAAACAGCTAAAACCGCAAATGATTAAGGAAAAAACAGCACATATTTGTGATATATGCGGAAATTCATATCCACGCAAATATGCTTTCGATGCACATATGCGACGTCATCGCAACGAACGACCGTTTGAATGCGAGTATGTAAAAAATAGTATTTATTTTTTGAACAAAATTTAAACAAAATATATTTGAATTGTAGAATTTGTCATCAATCCTTTCACTTAAACTTCCAACTTACACGTCACATACAAAAGCACACTGGAGCACGGCCTTACAAGTGTCAGTACTGTCAACGTTCGTTTGCAGATCGTTCAACAATGATAAAGCATGAACGGTAAACCTGCTAATGCTATAAATAATGAATATTAGCTTATTTAATGACTTTGATGTATTTTAGAATTCACCGGAATGAACGTCCCTACACATGTGAAACATGCGGAAAAAGTTTTACGTATTCCAGTGTATTAAAAGTGCATATGTTAACGCATACGGGAGAAAAACCTTTTACGTAAGTAACTTAATTGAAACGAAAAAAAAAACATTTATATTAATTCATATAAATATCATATCTTTTACAGTTGTGGAATATGCAACAAAAGATTTGCACGCGCTCATCACTTACGTGCACATCTGGAGACTTTACTTCATCAAAATGATCCCAGATCAAGTGTACTATTAAAGCAAATTAAAAGAGAAGAGGACTTAGATAAGGGTGTGCAAGACGATTATTATTTCAGACCAATTCCTAAACGTTCCAGTTCTATCGGAGAAGAGAATAACTAAGAAATATTTTCTATAAGTGAGAGAAACACATTATATATACAGAAATTGTTTTTAAAACTATAATAATTTCTTAATACATGTAGTCGTATATGTTTTTTACACATGCATTTGTTTATTTAACATGTAATATCTAAGCTTTAGTATATTGTTAATATTTTTGAGCAAAATATACGAAGCTCCTCACTGCAGAAGTTGTGGAAACTCGCAGGAAAAAGAAACCATAATACATTTCTCTGTGAATGCCCTGATTTGGCGTCCAGAAGATATAGCTGCTTAGGAAAATACTTCTTTGATACTTTATCAGACTGTTCATCGATGGGATGGATTTTATCATTACCTAAATTTGGTGGGATGGATTTAGTCTCTACTCTTCTATACTAGGGTTCTTGCGAGGAATGTGGTTGCAAAACGGCGAAAAATCGCTAATTGAGATACATGAAAGTTATCTAATGGGCACTGCAACCAACTAACACGAAAATAATTTTACGTGACAAATATCTTTAACAAGAGGCTATATTTTGACCTCAATTAGGATTGGAAAGCATCTTTATCGCCTTCTAGTAGACATCGAGAAATATCTATAGAGAATTTTGTTGATATGCAACCATGATTTCGAAGAGGACTTTAATTCTGCATGAGAGTTGTTAAACGTTGTTTGTATTTGACCTCACTGATGTTAACTACGTTGTAATAGACCTCGACGTTAGACACGAAAAAGAAATCAACCATTGCAGCATGGACGAAGGAATTGGGTCAGTATCATAGAGTGTCATCTATTCTTTTTATAGCACTTTTGGTATTCAATTATGTATGAGTATATACATTATGTGTTCCTTGTTTCGCTTTGCTGTTGTTGTTGTTGTTGTTGTAGGCCACTGGGATCTAAAATGCACATAACAAGCAAGGGTTACAAAACGAATACATGGATTGAGATGTGGATGGGTGGTGTTTGGGGTAAGGATAGAGAGAAAAGGTGGGAAGGGAGGATGTTTCTCTTTGTAAGTTTTCTTGGTGAAAAATAATTGTCTGTTTAAGGAAACATATTTAATTATCCATTACTGGCATCAAAAATTGTTATAACATTTATGCACGTACTATGTGGTATGTGAACATAGCTTCTAATGGAATTGGTATATATTCAGTTATTCATTTTTAAGCAGTTTTTACTATTTATACCTACTATTTATACTTATTAATATAATTAGTATTTATTATTATTTATTACATAATATTCATACTGAGTCCAAAATGCTCCTGATCAAAGAGCATAATCAACCACTATTAAAGCAATATGTCCTCGCATACTGCATAGAGGCACATCCAAACGTAGAACCTTTCTTCTTTTTTGCATCTGTCGGTAATTTTCAACGTCACACAAATATACAGATTTTGTGATTGAAGTAATATAAAGGCATTGCTATTAAATGCTCTCCATATTAAGGCTAAGTTGACATTGCAGCAAGGTTCGCATTATATCTCTTTGGAAGAAACAAGAGTTTCAAACGCATTAAGAATTTGTGCTGGTTAAATAAAAGTCAAATTATTAGCACATGCTAAATAGTTACTTATAATGAATAAATCGCTCCAATCGATGTCTGGGTCCCAACTACTGCTCTACACCTGATTCTCTCGCACATATGTTTAACATAGCACATACCAATTTGAGCACAATATTGGTGTCTATATCTATAGTAATAAAGTCATAAACAAACGTACCTGCTGGTATAGTCTCACCTATCTGCAATCCAATCTTCTTCTCACACATACACCTCATCGTTTACACTTCATTTACCTAATGGTATTCTAACCCGTGGATTCTTATATGTAAATATATATATAATTTTTAACGTCGCCATATGGCACTTCACATCTATTGCTGTTTTCCAGCGAGGTGACAAGATTCATTTACTTTTCTTCGGGTTAGCTTTAAATCGCCCCTTCACACCATTACTTACTTCCACATCATTTTCTACATACATATATCCATCATCAACCTTTGCAAATATGAGATAATTTTTTTGGCTTTGGGATTAATTACTAACAATTTTTTAGCTTAAAAATTGATTTATGAAATAATGTTTTAATTTCAAACATAAAATAAAATTTCTCATGAATTTT